TCTATAAATGCCCTTTGCCTCCTAGCTCTTTCCTCTATTTCCCTTGATTTTCCTCCTGTCCCACTATCATGCTCAGTCCCCACCAGGGTTTCAGCACTTCCTCTTTGTTACATTCCCCTTGATCATGCCCTACCAAGCCTCCCACACCCTAACAGTCTTATTTAAACAAGCCTTGAGAAAATTTAAAAAACAACAACAGCAACAAACAAACAAACTAACACAACACATTACTCTCTCCTCAGCATGAACATCTCAAAGACTACCCCCTTTGTTTCTTTTCCCCCCAAAATGTTGAGTTTCCCTCAAGCCTAATGGAAGGGATTCTTTATCATTTTTCACACAATGTAGCAAATTGCTTTCAAAAGTCCTAGCAATTTAACAATCACGGGTATCATTAATTCCGTGTGTTTGTTTGTTTTTGATGAATGGGTCGTTCTTAAAATGACTGCTCCTAACACAGATTCATTGTACACGTTCCTTATGAAACTTACATGAAGCCACCATCTACTGTTTTCCTGAATGGTTTTCTAAATTCTAATCTCAAGGTGTGAGACATGCTCCATTCTCACAAATATTAAATGTCATGAAATTAAATGTCATGAAAGCAAAAGCCAACCTCTCCTTCAGGTCCTCTTGCTAAATAGCTCTCATGAGCGCACTGGGCCGCGTCCATCGTTTGATTCCATTTGTGCGGATGCTTTTCTCAGTTCAGTGAACAGTTAAAATTAATTGTGGACGTTTGCTCTTTTCCTTTCCAGCGCTAAAAAGGAATGTGACGCTAAATACTCCGTCAACCCAAACCTGGCGCAGATGTCTTACTTTCGCCCCTCAGAAGGGGTGTCGGACACTTCCTTTTCTAAGAGTGCAGCGAGCAGCACATTTTTGGGCAATAGCCCTTCAGCAATGAAAAAACTGGGTCCCAAGAAAGAAAAATCGAAAACCATGGTAGAGACGGTTCTCCCAGCCCCAGAGGACCCAGAGGGATTGGAAGTAGTAGATGCAAACGAGGAACAGAATGTGGAAATGCTGCCTTAACTGAAAAGACCACTTGAATTCCTTTTTCATTTGAAATAAAAACTCTATCTTTGTGACTCCATTAAAGTCACGGTTTGGCGACATGCTGAAGTTTTGTTTTTTTTCGTGTCTGAAAAGGAAGAAATCTATCATTCTGTCAGTTATGAAGATTACTTCATGGAGAATGCACAGGAGAAGTCAAAACCCTCCTGAAAGTGACCCATGAAAATGCTCGCTCTGCCTTGGTTTGTTTTCAAATGAGGCTAGTTAGAAATTTACCTTCGCTGAGGGCACTTTAGAAACTTCACAGTAAACACACACACACACACACACAGACCCTCTCCAAAGCAAAAAAACCTCCTATCCATGTGCTATTGGCCAAACAGTGGTGGCCTATCCATAGATGACATGAAGTCAGTGTTGGGCTTGAGAACCATTAGGGCTTTTCTCACAGAACAACCAGAAAACAATATTTTTAGAGAGTAATCATTATAGCTTGAGGTTCCGTAGTGTCCCAGGAAAACTGGAAAGAAGTGGGGATCCCAGCATGCACTTCCCTGGAGAGGGCGTCATGCCTCCCCGTCTTTTGGAATGGAAAGGCTGCCTCTTGCACTCTGCTTACAGCCCACGAGGCTTAACACACACTCTTAAAACCCCAGCACCCCGAGACTAACTCAAGTTACGATGACCTTTGAGGTTACCCACCCAGGAATATTTCATTTCCAAAATGGAATTACTGGGAAAGGAATCGCTATTCCCTTCTAAAAATTAGGTTCAACTGGAAGGACTTTAGGAAGTAGACATCAAGGCTTTGGTGGATACATGTGAATGTGGAACAGCTTACAGGAACCAAATCAATGACTGCAGGCCCCTCCATTGTCCTTAACAGCAGGGAGCGGGCCTACCTCAGTAGCCTGGTGACTGACTGTCTTCAGGGAGGATGACTGTAAGCATCTGACCTCCTCCCATAGATGTGGGGCAGGGTAGGGGGTGGGGGGTGGGGAGGGCAATCATTTGGGGGTAGGATTCATTGTATCCTACCCTCACAGAATGTGAGCTTCCACTTATTTGCATATCTACTTTATGCCACCTGGATCAGAATGCACTATGGGTCACCTGAAAAGTCCAGAAGGCTTCGCTGTGTCACGAGGAAGCTGCACGTGGATCAAAATGCCGTCTGCCTCAGCCCTGGTATGTTCAATCACCTCCTGCACATGTGAAACGGGGACAGCGAATAAGGACGATTACAGGAGAACTGGTGATTTTGAATTATGGTGCCGGTGAAGAATAGATTTCCAGAAGAATAAGCAAGTCTGTCTTGGAAGAAGTACAACCAGAATTCTCCTTAAAAGTGAGGATTCATCGCATGTACTTTGGACATGTTCTCAGGAGAGACCAGTCCCTGGGGAGAAACACAGCACATCATACTTTTTCTTAAGGACAGATGATATTCTTTGATGTGTAAGACTACATACAGGTTGTCAAATGGTATTGGACTTTTTGAACTATTTCCAAATGGTCACTTGTTAGTGATAAATAAGGTGAATAGTTTGTATCCAGCCATATCATATTTTACACACTTTAGTAATCATGCATAAGCCAGGTCTGTCCCACGGATGAGACATTAGTAGTCACTCTAGTATAAAGAGGTGAATGTACTTTGGTCACTCAGAGAAATGAACTAGACATTTGGAGACTTTATCCAGTGATAGTCAGGGATTTCTCATTCTCTGCCCAGGAAGTAATCGGTGGTAAAGGACCCCCCAGTGTTTAAGACTGGGTTTGGAATAATTCATGTCCTTCTGGAAGGAAGCCACTTGTCCAGGATAGATTGGAATCTGCATTTCATTATGTTATTTTATTGGTCCAATTAAATTCCTTTTCTATGGACAGCACAAGGTACAGAATTGTAAAGAATCAATGAAGACGTAGAGGGAGTGGAGGCTGAGGTGGAAGCAGGGCAAAGGATACCCTCCAGGCTCACTTGAGCATAAGTCTCAGAGTCTAGGGCCTCTTAGAGGGAGGCAAGATTTCTTCCCAGAGGAACCATGGAATTAATTATCAAAGAACAAATACAACCTACGAAGTATATTATGGACCCCCAAATGCTCAGCTACTTATCCTGAGTCTTCAATGAATGAATAAGGGATCAATTGTTCTGCAAAGCTGGGTGACACATCAAAGGCAGTTTCTCAAAGTCACCCTTTATGGGGTACTGAAATGATCCAGGTTGGGGTGGGATCATTGGGGGGGGGGCATGGCTACAAAAGCAGATACCTATACTTTATCCTGGATGACGG